TATCATCGATATTCAACCTCGATCTCGACCCTTGTTGACATGTCGACTACGGCTCTTGTCGACATCTCGACTGCGGCTCATGTCGACACTTCGGCCAAGGACTTTGCTGCTTCTTGGGTCGCTTCAACTAACATACACTCGAGAATCCTTCCCATAATATTACCTTGGCTAAGATACTCTAGAGACAGATTTTGCCTCATACACTAAGAAAGTTTTTAAAAAGAAAGGAGAAACTTCCAGTATCACAAGATTATTTTTCAATTGTAACTTCAAATGTTTAATTTTTCGAGTGCATTAATCAAATGGTCGTTTAACTATCCAAAATTATTTATTAAAGTCATCTTTCTTTCGTTTTAGTTTGTAACAACAAAATCATTTAACTATACATATAGCACTAAGAAGGTCACTCAACCACATTTCTCAAACTTTTGATTGTCTAATACCTATTTTACCCTCTAAATTATCAACTTTTGTCTTCTTTATATTTTTTTAACTTTTTAAAATTATAATTTTCTCTTTTTTTAATTTATATTATGGACCTACCTATAGAATAAATAAATTTTGTTTATATTAAAAAAATAAAAATAGTATTTAAGCACATATAATATTGGAATAATAAAATATTGAGTATAGTAAAAAACTTAATTAGAACAATTTGTTCGAACAACAAAAACTCAAATTTATTTACACAATTGAGAATGAACGAAAAATAATTTATAATATATATTCCATGCACGTAATATAAAAAATAATTATTTAAGATAAAGTTATTTTTATAATAGACATTATATATTCTTGAAAAATTATGCTCAATTATATTATTATTCCGACATTATATGCTAGAAAACTAATTTTTTATTTTATAAATAAAATTTATTTGTTCTATAGGTAAGTCCACGATGTAGATTAAAAAGAGAAAAACCATAATATTAAAATAGAAAAAAAGGATAAAAGTTGATAATTTAGAGGGTAAAATAAGTATTAGACAATCAAAAGTTTGAGAAATTTGGTTGAGTGAACTTGTGAGTGCTATAAACATTGTTAAGTGACTTTTCTGTTACGAAATAAAATGACTTTACTAGATAATTTCGAATGGTTGAGTGACCATTTAAGTAATTGACTCTTACATTTTTTTTTTCTTGTGGTGATAATCGTTGGTTCTGGTTTACTTCCATGTTTTATGAGATTTATATTGAGATGGTATTATTGTATGACCATACATTCAGCGTGAAGAACTTGATTATGGCAAAGAAATTGATTTCTGGAGGTTTTCAGCTCCTTTCTTTTCAGAGATACCACATACACATAGTAATACATAATAGTAGTACCATAAACTAAAACGGGGATCTGGAACGCCAAAATTTACGAATCAAATTGTTACTATACTCCCTTTATCCCAATTTATGTGATACAATTCGGATTTGAGAGTCAAACTTTGAATTCTGACATAAAATATTTAAGGGTTTTGAAACAAAATTTACAAAATCAAAAACTATATAAAAGCACTATAAGTTATGTAATAATTAACAATTCAAAATATTTAATACATACGAGAAATTAAAGAAAAAATTGCTTGACTTTCGAGGGAGTAACATTTTTCGTTTAAAATTTGTGTAAGAATGGTTTTGTTTAAATCTAACCGAACTAGTGAAAGACGGGAATTCAGTAATCTAAAGGTCAATCCAAGGCACGGGAGAAAAACTGGTGTATGTCTTAATAACTATGTAAAGCACAGTCTAGTTCACACGAGTCTCACAAAAGAAGGTTCATATGATTAGCCTTTAATTTTGAAAGATCTTTCATGCATGGAATATAAAGGAGCTTCGGGAAAATATATTTGTATGTTATGTGTGATGCATTTGGAACTAACAAACTGCGTTGAAAAGCACAACAATTTGCAAATTGGATGTCGAAAACGAAGCATATGTTCATTCAACCATATGAGCGGCAAGTCTTTGGTAATCCAGACTACAAAGTTTAAACTAAACAGAAGACAAGCGCCAATTTTTCCGTATATATTTGACAGAGTCTAGGAAAATTCTACATATAGTTATTCCTTTAAACTGAAGCATATAAAACTGCTTGCATAATCAAATCACGCAGCCGCGGTGGTGGTGATGGTGGATATTACTTGTGGACTTGGTCGTTGCTATTTTTGTCATAGTAATGATAAACTGCTGCTCCAGATAACATTGCCAATGTTAAAGCTTGTGCGTGCATCCTGTTTGCCAAAGTAAAATCATGTTAATTAGCGTAAGCTGCACACATAATACTGATAGAGAATCACATAGTAAATAAATAGCTGAATTAATTTGAATTTGATTAATTAATTACCTGGCATGAATGAGCCTAAGACTTGGCTTGAGGGGAGTTCTGGAACTTGAGTAAGCTAGTGAAGCACCAACAGCTGTAGCCCAGAATGTCCCTGTAATTAAATGGAAGGAAACCATTTGAATATTTTAGACGATGGAAATATAAAGTAAATGAATTTGACCGTGAAGCAAGAAAATGAAGATAACTAACCAATGCTGGTGAGTTTGTGTTCAGAAACCCAAGATTGTACGGCCTCCATCTTTGTGAAAATTTACTTTCTTTAAGAGCTAAAAAAGAGAGTGCTATTAGACTGGATGATAGTATTTGTTTTGAGTGGAAAGAAAGGAGGGATTTGGTTGATATTTATAGATGTTATGAGAAAAGAGGAAGTGGATATTATATTGGGGTGGATGCATCATGTAATTTGGTGTGGCCCCTTGTTTTGGATCTACTTTTCTTGATCCACTGAAAAGTAGGATTGAATAAAGTTAAAAAGCAGTACTAATTCTTTATGATTAAAAAGTGAAACCAGTGGGTTTCACTTCCCCTGGTTTACTCTATTTTCTACCGTTACCTTGCATTCTATTTCTACCACAACTCTAGAAACACTTGACCTGCTATAAGCCGGTGGTTTAATTTAGGGCGCGTTTGGCAATAATTTTTTTTTTTACTATGGTTTCCTGTCTGATTCTTCTCCTAGGACAATAGGCAGCTCAACTTTGGATAAGAATCAGCAAGCCTTCGTCCTTATTCTTTCTGTATGGAATTGTGGAATTAATAAGTTATGGAGATTTAGTGGTGAAATGAGTGTATATTGTACATATATCATGTGTATATCCTATGTATTAATATTTTTTATATCGATATTTACTACATATCTCACATGTATATCACTCTATGTCACATATATGTCAAATGTATATCCTATATATGCAATGATATACATGTGACATACAATAATATATAGTAGTAACATATAAGTTACACGAGAGAGAAGAAGTTGAGGAAGCCATGAGAGAGAAATCTGGCAAAGAAGCAACAACAATGAACAATGACAAAACTTCGTTGAAGAAGAAGAACAAACAACAAATAGATCTCCAAAAAATTTTCAATGAAGCAGGCGGACAGAATTGTGACGACGACAAGTAAGGTTTTAGACGGGGACAACGGTAGTTGGTTGTGTAGAAAGAAAATATAATAAGAAAGAAAAGATATCCAATTTTATAAAATTTACCGAAGGTTGTATATATTATGTGAATATTTTGTTGCTATATTTTGAAATTGAATAGTATTACTATTTTTCTGTAAATATGAGCTTAATCTGTATATCTATGTAAAATTCCCTTTTTACTTTATGAATTAAAATCCCAAAAGTCCAAAAAAGAAGAAGAAATCTACACAATATGTTCGCCCCCTAAAATAATAGTAGNATAAGTTTGGACTAATAGGAGCTGCCTAAGTCCTGAAATTCACTCATAAATTTTTAATTTAATTATTTTAAATATTTATTATAAATTAAAAAAAAAGTTTTGTTAGTAGGATTTAGCAATTTAGAATTTTCACATAAGAAATAAATAAATTAAAATAATGTTGAGTTGTGCGAATGAATTAAGGGGACTACCTTCTATGTTTAAGTATTTCTCAATGGATAATAACGTAACTAATGTCACGAGAAACAGATAAAAAGACTTTATGTAAGGAGTGCAATGAAGAAACTACGATTTGATGCAAATAATAAATTGAAGGAGTGAAGCTTATATTAGATCATTTACTTTATATATATATATATATATATATATATATATATATAAAATATACATACTTTATGCATACTCAGTATATATTTTTTGTATATATGACTAGCAATTATAATTATTTTTGACTGACCGGTAAAATATGAAAAACACTTTTTGGGGACTTACCTCAAGATAAAAAAAGTCATACAAATAATTATCCGGTTTAGCAACAAAATCTATTTTTTAAAAAGTAGCAAGAACTTTTTAACAAAATTTTTATAATTCGGTAAAAATATATAACTTAGATACAACTTCCATATAATTATATTATTGTATGTCATTTGTATGTACTTTATATATCGTGTGTGTCGCTATATGCCCATTGATAACATTGAACATACAAATAATATACACCTGATATACATCCGACATACAACTATTCCACTATCAGGGCACCACCATAACAATCATTTCTTCAATCATAACAATGCCAATTTTTATTTTTTTAAATCTATCTTGTATCTGCTAATACTCTCTGGAGTGATTGGACTCATTGGACCAATGTTTGGCTTCCTTAATCTATGAGATCTATTTAATTTATATTGCACATTTTCAATTAAAATGTTAAAGTACACAATGAGTTGTTGTGTTGTCGCTTATCTAATATTTCCCTGTAAATATTAGTTTGTAAACTTTTGATGAAATTTTAGTCAAATTCTGAATTTGCTGGTAATTTTACCAGCTCTTATACTCACTTTGGGCATTTTATGCTGGCCGAAGAAAGGATTTCGTGTTTGGCAGCCAAAATCATCTAGTAAGGCTCAAATTACTATGTTTTGAAAATCTTGTTATATTTTAGGAGTGCAAATATTCCTAATAATAATAATAATTAAGCTTCTAATTTTATATACTCATATGGGTATTTTGTTTTTATTAAGGCCAAAAGGTTGAACAACTAAAGAAGGGCTAGGGTTGAATGATTGAATCTAGGATTCGGAAAGGAAGCATCGAGAGTCCAAAAGACTTCTCTAGCAAACTCAACAATCTTGTTGTGAACTCTATAATCTTCCAATATTTTTCAAAAATCTCCCACACGTTTTCCCGCCACCCAACTGATTATTAAGCTTCTTCAACAATCAACTTTCCTTTCGGTTAACAACACAATAAAATTGACGAAATGAGAAGTTGAAAAATGGGAATCCATGGCTACTCAAAGAAATAGCAGCTCTAAATCCATGAACAACAATAAGAGGCAACCATTATCCGACATCTCCAATTTCAATCTCATACCCACTTCTACTCTCCGCAAGCTTGTCTCCTCCTCCTCCGCTTCTTCTTCCAAACCTCAAAATGTTTTCCAAAAACCCCCAATTTCTGTTTCAAATTCTGATTCCAATATCTCAAAACCCAACAACAACTCGCCTAATAACAATTCCACGGAGGAAAACTCTGGAATCAGCGTCGCATCTTCCAATTTCAACTCTGCTCGAAACCCTAACCCCCTCGATATTTCTACTGTTCGTCGTGTTGCTCGTGTGCCTGACTATTCATTAACCACTCCTGGTATGATCTCCCTGCCCTCGCTCTCTATCTCTCTGTGTGTGTGTGTGTGTGTGTGTGTGTGTGTGTGTGTGTGTGTGTGTGTGTGTGCATATTCCAGTTTATTTGAATTTATTGTTTGGATTTTGACATTTAGGTATATTTTACCCTCTGTCCCGTTTGCACATTAAGTCACGGTTAATTATCACGTAGGGAATAAATATATTGTTTATAAGAAGCTCCTGATACTTCCAACCTTGCTATCTATTTTTCTTTGCTCGTTGTTTTCGTGGGAGGATTAGAGTGGATAATGCTAAATCATCTGTTAAATGTGAAGAACTTGATTATGAAAAAGAAATTGATATCTGTTGGATTTTAGCTCTTCCATTTCAGAGTTACTGCGACTCAGTAATACATTAATGGATAACTAATTCTGCTGTTTTGTAGAAGACTAAATGTAGATTTAGAAAAGGCCCGGGGGGGGGGGGGGGGGGTGTTGTACTGCATTAGTTATGCGTTCATCCGAACTCCAAACCCAATAGCTTTGTTTAGACCATGTAAATGTGTTAAAATATCCACCAAATAGTACTCCCTCTGTCCCAATTAACTTTCCTTTTTTGTCCGTCCTTAAAAGAATATCATACTTACTTATTTAGAAATTTTAAAATTCCTACTACTCCTATCCTTAATGAGATTGATTTATAGCCGCATAGATATTTATGGCTTGTATTAGACCACAAGTTTAGTTTCCTTTCTTTCTTAAACTCCGTGCCGAGTCAAAATACCGCCACGTAAATTGGTACAAAGGGAGTATAAGAATATAGATTACAAACCCAGTGAATCAAATAAATTGTGGTAGACTTCCATACTCAAACCCATAAAGTACGAATCCTCGATCCTCCTGTGGGATTTGGAACTCCAAAAATTACGAACCAAATTATTAACCTACTTTGTTTAAAATCTTAGTAGCAATAGTTGTCTTTAAATCCAACCGAACTTGTGAAACATGGGATATCAATAATCTTTTTTTAATAACTTTTGAGTACCTTTTAAAGTCTTTATTTCAAAGAAATCGATATTATTGATAAAGTAACGATGATACTTTTGAACTCTGCGTAGAGATTCGTACAGTCAGTTCCAAGTCTAGATGAAGGAGGATGATTGTGTTAGATTAATCGCAAGCCTAAAAATAGTCCGAGTGTGATGTATAAAGGTAGCTTAATATATTGTGAAACATGATCTACAGGTGCCTACCCCTAGCAAGTTGACTTTTATGTTGGATAGCAAATTGTAAACACGTTCTTCATGTGAACAGAAGCAATCGACGTAATTGCTAACAGTGATTTGGTTGGTTCTTCATTTGCTCTAATAAGTTTGGCTTCTCAATTTTGAAATGCTAAATACAGGGAATTGTGTTACTATGCTTGCTTTTGCTCAAATTTTTAATGTCTGTATTTGTTTTAATACCTAGGGCTAACCTGTCTAAGTTGGCTCTTGTTTGTTACTCAAGCAGGCAGGGATAATGAAGCTGTAGTTTATAATCGAAGGCAGGCTACGAAGAAGTCTAATTTGGAAGCTACTAATCCGACCTTCACTTCCAGTCTTCATGAAAACAAAAGAGATAAAAGGAAAGAGATTGATGAGCCTTTCCTTTCCCTGCCTCCTACAATCTCAAAGGATAAAGGGAAGGCAATTGTTGAGTCATTCAGTAGCTTGTCTCCTGAGACTAAGGAAGATAAGGGGAAAGGAGTTGTTGTTCTATCTACCCCAGTTTCAGGAAATAAGAAAAACAAGGGAATAGTTATTCATGAGCCTTTTGTGTCTTCATCTCCTCAGAGGGTAAATGACAAAGCTAAGACAATTTCTCATGAGCACTTTCCTACAGATGAAAAAACAGCAGAAGAAAAAGTTGGTGTTTTGACTCGGAGTTCCGCATCTTTAAAGAAAACAAAGGGAAAAGGGATGGAAGACGCATCAGTTTTTAGTTGTCCTACTTTTCCAAAGACAAGAACCCATAGGTCTCTCTCTCTCTCTCTCACACACACACTCTCTCACACACATACACACACACACAAAAAACTCTCTTTTTCTATTTATGTCTGGCTCTTCATGCATGTAATCTTGAGGAAGCGGTTTTCTTTCCCCCTTTTTCTTATATCATTTTTTTCCTTTTTTTCTGAGGTTAGTCACATGAGATTTGAAGTTTCTTGTGGTGATATCATTTGCTGATATCCTGTACCAAATATAAATTGTTGGTTGATTTGAACTTTCATGCTCCTAACACAGTACATGCAGTTTTACCTCTAGTTTTAACCCTAAGAAATTTCAGTGGCTGAAATTTTCTGTCTTGGCAGTGTACTCAAGCTACTATTTATTTTTTTATCTACCTGAAGTAGCATAATCTGTAGTGAATTGAGTGTCGTAGTTGCAATTGTGTTCACTTCACAGGCTCCGCACGTGCTTAATACGCAAGATAGTTCTGCAGCATGCACATTAGCAACACCTTACCCTCTATCCCCTTTTCTTTCCTGCGGCACATCTAAAATCGAGGCATTTGTGTTTTGAATGGAATAAAGATATTATAAATGTGAAAAGTGACATAGGCAGACTACTCAATGCTGATGCTCTCTTGATTCGTGTTTCTTCTATGTAGGAGTAAATTCAACGGAGCTGGTGATATTAAACCCTCAGGTTCATGGACGGAACCTAATGGAAAGCGTAAGAAGGTTTGTTAACAATCTCTTTTTGTATGGATCTCTAATGAGAAGTGTCTGTACTGGCTTCTTTTAGACATTCTTCTCGTTGCTGTTGAGATCTCATGGACTACCAGTAGTAATGGGTACTGGCCTCTTTTATTTTCTATTTCTAGGTTCAGTTTCAGAGCTATGGGAAAGAATATGCTAAAGTTTGTTTCATCCGTATCTTTGCACAATTATCTTGTAATAGATATGTTTCATATGTGGGAAACTATGTAGATTAGACGTGAGAGACATTCATAACGTGGAGGTTCGCTAACGTTCTGAAACATTTCTTTCTAAAATGGTTCCAATAGCAAGCCTAAGCTCACATCGCTGACCCCCTGACCTGAGTTCTCTTCACCAACCATGTCAAAATAATATTAGGGAAAGATGAACTAAAATATGGCTCAGTGAGTTACCTAAAACTGAGGGGTTGGTGTTAAACCTAGTAATAAATTCCTATTAACATTGCTGATAACTGCTTTCTGGAACGCGGGCTGTGCATTCTTTCGCTTATATCATAGCCTACCATATTGATGGCTAATAACTAAAATGTTTCTGCAGAGGCGGAAACCTGTCCTTGAAAATTCCTTGCCAGAAGATTTTGTCAACTACTGGCGAAAGCATTTTCAAGAGGTTGATGAGTTTGAATTGCCAGAAGAGGAAGCATCGTACAGTGATTTGGACTAGAAAGGAAAGGAATAGTGTTTGACAAGAAGCAGATCTAGTCTGACCAGTTGACCCTCCCTGTATAGTAATGCCCATATACTTCATAAACGTGTTGATGTACCAGACTTACATAGTTATCAATGGTAACTCTTCATAGTTCTTGTAACTGTTATGTGCATTTGTTATGTTACACGTAAAGTGGTAAAAAGTTTTTTTCCTACAGATCAGGTAACACGTTCGCGACAAACAGACATATTCACATTTCGAAAGCCATAAAATTTGGTGAATTTCTCGATCAAAATGGAGGTCGTTATAGGAGGTTCTGTAGCTTTGTACTTTTCTTTGGCATGAGAATACCTATTTATTGCCTGAGCAAGGGAATTCATTTGCCAGAAGGACAAGGCAAAACCCTTTAGAATGCATTCAACAGAGACGCACAAACATGAGCGTGAATGGATGCACATATAATTGGTTAAAATGTTGATTTTGTTAACTTCACATCATGGGTGCAATTTCCACTTTCCATGTGTTAATGTACATCAGTACATCTTTGGTTTGAATCTGGTATCGGGGTCTTCCTGAATTAATGAAAATTGGCTTGATAATTTTGTGAAACTAAGAACAAGTATTTCTTAAGTTAAATTCTTAACCTTGTAACTGTAACATAGTATCTAACCAATCAGGGTAGAACATGGGAGTAGGAAGGGCTTGGAGGACTGCATCCTTGAAATGGCTTATAGGCTTATGCAGGGATGGAGATAGAAGCCTGTATGCAGGTTTGGTCGATCCCAATAGATTTTGTATAAACTGCGTATTTTTCATTAAATATGTACACATATTAAATTTAGAACCTAATTACTAATACTTGAAATCGTCATTCTAACATCAAGAACCCATAAAGTTCAAATCTTGGCTTTGCATCTGGGCTTATGGTGTTGCTATTAATAATTTGTGTTGCTTGTATTAGTTTGTTATAAATATCCATAGTTGGAGGAACTGTTTAAGTAAACAAAGATTTTGGAACTACAGATGTATAGTACAGTATGTTGATTAGAAGATGAACTGTTAAGTTCTAAATTCAAGTCTTTTGTGGGCTTCTCCTTGTCTATGCAAGCATGCTGCCTTCATTAAATGAAGGTACATGCTGAAAGGTGAATGTGATGTCAATAAAGAATGATGTTTGTCAATGTGGTGGTGTGATACTTTTAAATTTTTTTCATCGCTTTCTATTGTGTGTATAAAATAGAAGACATGCTCTGCGCTGTTGATGGTTCTCAAGCATGTCATATTCAAAGCTTCAAAGGCTTTATATTATCACTATGAAATCATCAATCTTTATTTAGTTGTTTACTTTTGATAAATATTGACATAGAAGGATATATAGAAACTTGTGACAATATTGAACCTTGTGCACTCTTATCAAGTTTGGTGGCTTATAATTTGATTACTATCTTGGAATCATTCTAAAGACAAAGGTATTTGGTTTTGTGCTTTCTATAGAGTATCGTATTGTCTAATACCACTTGAGGTTATTAACTAGCTTGTGTTCTTCTCCTGGTTTACCATCCTTAGCTTGTTCTTTGGCAGCATGGAACTTATACATATAGTTGACATATGCTTGCAGTATGTTGAAGTTTCCATTGGAACATAATAGATTGCAGTATTAGTGTCTGACTCAGCAATTAAAAGCTCATATGGGTTGTCCATAAACAGGGGCAATGTGGGTGTGCACATCTCTGTGTTTTCCTTGTCAATTTGAGTGCTTCTATAAGGTAATATGGAACCTCTCAACATCTATTCTATGTAATAAGTTATGTCCATTTTGTTTTACCTTGATGATTCTTTCGATTAACTTGTCCACCTGTTGATGGTATATGCTCATATCAAACTGAAGTCATAATGCTGTCACTCTATGAATGAAAAACTGGAAATTCTTTTTTTTTTTCTAGAAAAGTGATTGGTGCTATGAACTTGACATTTTCACGGGCATGAACGCTCGAGCATTAATTTCAATGATCTCAGCTTGATAGACCAAGAAGAACTTTGTTTTGTTTTGCCAAAGAGATCTTGTTAAAAAGGGTTGATATCTATTAACCTTACTTCATTTCAAGTTTCCCATGTGTTTTACTCCAACTCTATTGAAGTATCTTTCAGTTTCAAGTTACAACAAAATCTTTAGGCACAGTTTCTATGTTGTGTTTTATTCGCCAAAACTTACAATCTCATCTTTTATGAGTCTAAATTGGCACTTCCCTTTTTATTTGTTTCCATTTACACAAACTTTAGTTTTGTGTTGGTGGTTATACTTATCAAATAGAATTCCAAGCTATTCGCTGCTGGCTTCTAGAGCTATTGTCACAGTGTAGAAAAATAAACTTGAGTGGTGCTTCAGCTCAAGTCCAACCACACATAGTTCCTGATACAGCTAGCCATTGATTTGATGTATGTCCACAAAATTTAAAAAGTAACTAAAAGGATTTGCAAACGACTAACATGTATTTCCCAAAACAGAAATAGAATTAAGACGTGCTCTGTGCTTTTGATAGTTCTCAAGCATGACATATTCAGAGCTTTGAAGGTCACATATTACCAGGCAATCGTTAATCTTTATTTAGCTGTTTGTTTTTTTATAGGTATTGATGTAGTAGAAACTTGTAACAATACTGCACATTATCCACTCTTATCAAGTTTGGTGGCTTATGATTCGAATAATATTTATCCTTGAATCATTAGAAGATTAGAGTAAGAGTTCTAGATTTTTCGTCAGAGTATCGTATTGTCTAATACCACTTAAGGTGATTAATAATATCTTCCAGCATAGGCTGGACTTTTAATATCTTGTCGGCAATTAAAAGCCTCATAACTTGATGTTCTTTTCGCTTCGTTTTCTTACTATCTTGTTATTGTTACTGCTTGGTACTAGCAGGGGCGGCTCAGTGATATTTGTGGCCTAAAACCAAACTTCAATAGGGGGCACTAAGATTTTTGGTGTAGAAGAAAACTCATAATTTTATTTGAAATTTATTTTTCTAGCTTTTTGAGATGCGAAATTATTAATAATTTGTTTGTAATTGATTTCTTTTAATGATTCTTTTTCAATTGATAATATAGCTAATCCATTTAATCTATCTTGAGACATTGTTGATCTTAAGTAAGATTTTATTAATTTTAATTTTGAAAAACTTCTTTCCGCTGAGGCAACTGTTACAGGAATTGTTAACATTATTCTATAAGCAATATAAGCATTTGAAAAAGAATCAAGTATTTTTATATGATTAAGTATATCGATTAGATTATCATCTTCTACGTGTATTATTTTCCTTAAAACTTTTAATTCATGAAATAAGTCTAAACCATCAATATCAGAGTTACTATTATGTTTTAAAGAACATTCAAGGTTAAGACAATTTTTATTTAAGTTCTCATCATCTAGAGATCTCAATGTTTTGCCACTAAATAGGAAACCAAAAATATTTTCATACGCTTCAAATTGCTCAAATCTACTTTGAAGTGAAAAAATAGCTTGGTCTACTATGTATAAGAAGTAATCAACTCTAAAAGATTCTTCAAGAGATTTTGTAATTTCATTATCAACGTTCTCATCAAATTGTTTCTTTCTATATATTACACGTTTATTACGAAATTCAGGTTCTATATTCAACTCATATGCAATTTCCTTAGCAGAAATCATGGCATTTGCAAATCCTTCTTCTCTATATTTTTTGAAAAAAGAAATCAAACCCCTAAGTTGATCTATGGCAACATCAATATGTATATCTTTTGATTGTAAATGTTTGCTAACTGAATTAACTGCAAATAGTATATCATACCAAATAGTCATACCCAGTAAAAACTAAAAATTTTCAAACTCATAAGTTGCTAAACAACTAGCTTCACTTTTAGTTTTTGGATCCTCACTAACTTCTACTAATTTCAACAAAGCATTTCTTATTTGTGGAGTTTGAAATCGTATTGCTTTAATACTTTCAATTCGACATTTCCAAAGCGTTTGTAATAATGATTTAAGAGTTAGGCTAGGTACATTATCTTTTAAAATTTTCCATCGCTTAGTAGAAGAAGAAAATAGTGAATATATGCGTTGTACTACTCCAAAAAATGATATAGCTTTGGTACAAGAATTAGCCATATCACAAAGTACCAAATTTAGATTATGACAACCACATGGTGTATAAAATGATCTAGGATTTATGTCGAGCAGTCTATTTTGCACTCCTTGGTGTTTTTCCTTCATATTGGATCCATTATCATATCATTGTCCTCTTAAATTATCAATATCAAGTCCTATACTTTTTATCTCATCTACAATAACTTCAAAAAGACCTTTTCCACTTGTATCATCAACTTTTAAAAACTCTAAAAAATATTCAGTAATTCTTACTGGAGTTACAGTGATGTCGACACTCCGTAATATAAAAGACATTTGTTCTTGATGACTTGCATCTGGAGTGCAATCAAGTATGATTGAAAAGTACTTTGTTTCTATAATTTTGTCAATAATTTTATTCTTAATTTCACTAGCTAATAAATTTATCAATTCATTTTGTATATTATGTCCAAGGTAATGATTATGAATTTCATCATGCTTAATTCGGCGAACATGTTCCTGCATGATTTGATCAAATTCTGCAATCATTTCAATTAGACTAAAAAAAATTCCGTTACTTTCTTGATAGATCTTTTCATTTTTTCCCTAAATGCCAAATTATTTTTTTCAAGAGTTTTTATCACAACAATAATTCTTGATAATACATTTTTCCAATGCTCTCTATCTCTATTGATTTGTTCTTGAATATCTTTATCAATTGTTTTACTTTTGTGCAATTTCATTTCTAAATCAATCCATGTACCCATATTAATAATATGCTCTTTTGATGTTTCATGAGCTTTGAGCTTAGCACTTATATTTCTCCAATCATTACTACCATCACTAGCTAATTTACTGCTACAAAAGCTAGAAGTCGTATTAAACAACTTACAACAAAAACAAAATACCTTATCCAAATCGTTAGAGTAAACTAACCATCTTCTTTCATGTCTTTCTCCATTAGCCAATTTTTGAATATAATTTGTAGTAGAAAAATGTCTAAAGAATTTATCCTTTGGAAAATCTATGTTAGTAATTTTAATTGGCCCCTTTTCTACTAATAGATCTCTCAACTTTGTATCTATACTAGTCCATTGACTAGGATCATATATATTCCTGAGAGTATAATTATCCAACTTATTTAGAACTTCTTGTTTTTCTTGAGGATATATGTTAGGTTTCTCGACAACTTCTCCTCCTTCCTCTTCTTCTTGAATTTTATTATTGTCTATCTCAATTATATTAGTGATTTGTTCATCTATCATAAAATCTTTCACATTTTCTGATTTAGAATTTTTACTATTCGCTACAAATTTATCAAGTGCTCCTTTTTGGGATTGTACTAGAGTTTCAATCCTTTTCCTTTTTTGACGTTTTGAACATCCGGATTCATATTTTCTAGTTGACATATTAAAACTCTAATAAATAACTAAAAAGACAATATATACTTACAAAGAAAATATATCCAAAAAAAATTAAAAAATAGATGCAAATAATAAAATATAGAACGATCAAACCTGATTCAACAAGACAAAAATAGATAATTTGATAAGCTTTTGCTACTTCAAAATTCTTGATGTAAGGCCAAAATACTTGAGAGCAAATTAAACAGATGGTACTTGTGTAGTTGTGTTCTGGTATTTTATTTTGAGGTAGTAACCGAATGAGATTGAAATTTTGGAATATAGAGTCTAGAGAAACTTTGCAGAGAGAAAGATAAAAAAGATAAAGAATATGGGTTCATTTATAATAATAATGGTAGGCAAATGACACAACATAGTGGGATGCTCAGTTGTTCACGCGTGGGGTTTGAATTCCCAAAATAGATTCCATTTTCGATTGTTCTCCAACGTCCTTTCCTTGAAACTTAACATTTTTTTTCTTTTCAAATACTTAATATTATTAAATGAATGGACAAATACATTAAAAATCAGAAAAATTTTGGGCCCCTACAAATAAGGGGCCCTAGGCAACTGCTTTACTTGCTTGGCCATTAGGCCGGCCCTGGGTACTAGTGCTTTTCTTTTCGTCTCTCGTAAGCCGAGGGTCTATCGAACAACCTCTCTACCTTCAAGGTACGGGTAAGGTCTGCATATACACTATCCTCCGCAGACCCCACTTGTTGTTGTAATTAAAAGCGTCATAAGAGTAGTCCATGAACAGGGATTAATGGGGGTGTCCACATATCTCTGTCTTAGCTTTGTTCTTCTTGTCAATTGAGTGTTCCTCTGAGGTAACATGGAATCTCAACATCCATTCTAGGTAAGGTGTTATCTCCACTTTCCCCCCCTTTTTGTTTAAGAACTTGTTCACCTGTTAGTGATATATGCTTATATTTACAAAGTGAAATCGTAATATTACCACCTTATGACTATAAAACTGAAATTTCCTCTTGTTAGCAAAATAAATGGTGCTAGGAACATGATATTTCCTAGGCTTGAGCTCTCCAGCAGCAATATTTTCTCTTTGCTAACCTACTAATGAGATCAGGAATGCCTCTTCAAATTTGATAACTAAAGACCTTATCTAAAATTTGAAGCTTAAAGTGGAGTATTTGATTACTTGACAATAGACATTAGATGTT